TCACCACACACACACAAACACACACAGACACACACGTGCATCTTTACCATATCAGTGATTGCTGTTGGATTAAATTTCTATTAGCTTTTCTCAATTGAGTTTGAAGATTGTTCATTAGACAGTAATGGCCTTTCTTGCTGCTAATGAATAGCTTGATTACTTATTCTTATTAGCTACATGTAAGGTGGTGGCTGCTTTGTTTTGTGTGCACATGTGTGTCTGTGTGTGGCATCTAGTGTTATTGTTGTCTGATAAATACACACACTCACACACACACACACCAAGTTATAACCAATTTTCTGGGTTTGTGCCAGAAGAGCCGATGGCAGCAGAAGACAGAGATGGATGGATTGTTCTGCCAACGCTCATCTTTCATTCTTTCTGTCCTCACTCCATCACTGCCTGTGATGATGCCACCCAATATGTTTTCTACCACCTGCTCTGTGTTTCTCCTGTCAGCTGTCACTCAGCCATTGTCTTTTTCATTCGGCCCAAGTCATCCCTCACTCTGTTAGTTTCCTGTTCTTCTCGTCTTGCTCATCTCTTCGTGTGTTCTTCTCGGAAGTGACTAGGCTGACCGGGCTTCTGAGAACTGAGTTGGCATGTTTCATTTGTCTGTGTGTGTGTCTCACACTTGGGTAATTTATGTGTGAGCATATGCCCATGTGTGATACTTTGATAAAGGAAACTAGCATGGCAATTACAATAATAACCTGCTCGATGCCAACCAGAGCCTGTCATAATTGTGGCACCTCTGGTCGTTTTGTGAGCGAGTGTGTGTAAAACCAACAATATAAACTCATGTACAGTATATATGGATGGTTTTACAAGACACAGAGACATGATTTCAACGTTATTTCAAGAGCATTTCAAACATGAAAATACTTGCCACAAAGGTTACAAATTAAAAACTGTGAATATTTTATATTTTTTTAAAGATTTTTTTAAGGTTTGCAAAAAAATAAATCTGACTGAGTTTCCTCAAAGATAAAAGTCCTAGAATCATTTTTTAAAATTTTTATATTTTAAACGAGTGGCATTATGTTTCACTTTATATAGCATTTGGGTTTGTTCATGGTGACTGAGATGATAGTTGCCTGTGTGTGTGTTTGTCAGCTTGTCACACACACGCAGT